ATCGTATAAGCATAATAATTCATCTGTAAACCTAAAAATATACAGCCAATTTTGAAAGAGATGTATCCTAGCTCAGAAAAACGTTACTGAATAGGTTAATGCTGTTGTAATGAATTGCTTCTTCTAATTAAAAAAAAAGAAAAACAAGCATACTAACAAAACTGAAGTTGGGTCTTTTGCAAGAGCAGCAAGCTTTCTTAGCCACTGAGCAAAATATACAGCCAATTTTGAAAGAGATGTATCCTAGCTCAGAAAAACGTTACTGAATAGGTTAATGCTGTTGTAATGAATTGCTTCTTCTAATTAAAAAAAAAGAAAAACAAGCATACTAACAAAACTGAAGTTGGGTCTTTTGCAAGAGCAGCAAGCTTTCTTAGCCACTGAGCCATTTCCCTAGACCATGTTCTGTCGTTTGATGACCTGAAAGAGTAGTCCTGGGCAGCTGTTTGGATTGCTCTGTGACCTGACATAGGGACCCCTGTGAAGGGGAATGCTTTGCAATGCTCAGCTGTCATGTTAACATTTGCCAGCCTTTGTTTTTCCAAAGACTTAGCAATATGTAGCGACTCTGACTTACAGTATTCTGTGAAGAGGTGTGAAGGTGACCTACATTTGTGCAGTACAGTGCCAATTTTCTTGGAAGTAAGTGAGTTCATATGCTGAGAATACGGTACTTAGGAGTTGGGTAGGCAGTTTGGGAATTATTCTGTTGAAAAGTTTAGACTAACTGCTGAGAATCACCCAGGAAGCTGATTGGTAGTCCACTCAGTAAAAATACCTATGGTGGTCACAGGATTTTTTACTAATAATATTTCCTTATAGATGTCAGTAAATGATATCTTATTAAAACTGTAGTAGATAATTTTTTCCAAATGTGTGACTGTGAATATGATGGGAGGAGGAGTGATGCACTTGAAAACACTGTTGAGAAAGCAGTTCAAAAAAAGAAAGGCCTAAGAGAAAATGTAGCCTAGGCTTTATGAAATCTTCAGGCTTAGCAAGTGTAGCCTAGGAGAATAGGAAGTTTTGGTAAGACTGAAAATTAGAGTTTAATAAAACAGGTCCAGGTGATGGCAGAGTTTGTGTTTTTATTGTCATCAGATTGTTGCTAAAGTACAAAGTTTTAGTGGAGTAGTAGAAGAATTTCAATTCCAGTATTTTTGAGTATTGACAGGATTTTGCTAAGAGCCTTGAGAATTTTTAATAATCTGTTAACTTTATCTGACTTAAACATTTTGAAGTAGAATTATGTCTAAAGAACTTTGCCAGTATAAATATGGTTCACATGCCGAGTATAAAAATGATAGCTTTTAATGTAAACAAGAACAATGCTATTAGAATATTGAATGCATTAAATACTTAGGATGCATTTTATTTATTTATGCTTACATTAAGTAATCTCAGTAAAGGTACCTAAGACTAAGAGTGCGTACAACTTCCAAGGTGGTATTTGAGAACTATAGCTTCCTTTTCTGTAAAGATAGCTTTGGTTCCCTTTTTCAGAAGTAGAATTTACTGAACTCCTTACCTATTATATCTACCTAGGGCAGCTACTTACCCCCCATCACCCCCAGTAGCCATGCTTTTGGCCTGTCTCAACAGAACATGGTTCTATCTAAGTTTTTTCTGTTTGTACTCTTAATTTGCATACTTTCTTGTCTGTGCGAATCATTTTTAAAAATCTCTTCCAGGCCTTAATCCTGTTCCCTTGGCGACTTTCCCTGTTGTCTTTGACATTGCACACTATTTCCATAACACTGGACCACTGTTCTTTTCTGTCCTTGTTTTTACTTCACTTGCACTCTATCTTAGGGAGGCCATTCAACTGTTGCCATCTCATTTCTCTGTTTTTCTCAAAAGAAATACTCAAAAATGGTCTGTGTGTCCAGTTTCTTCTTAAACTTACTCTAGTCTAGCTTTTTACCATATATCCAAATAGCTGAGATTCAGGAATCAGTGAACTTCAAAGTGCTTAATTCAGTTTTCAGGCATTACTATTCACCAGCTTGATTTGATGTTTAGTAATCCTTTCATTTTCCCTGAAATAGTCATTTGACTCCTAGAACAACACTTTAATTTTTTTTTTAATTTCTCAGGTCTTTTAAAATGTCTTTTGCTTCTTTCTCCTCACTACTATGTCAGTACCCTAGACCTCTCCTTAGTGTGTAGGTAATCTGTGAGTGCACTTGGTTTTACTCATGTATAATTACCAAACTCTGCCGCTACTTGGTAGTTTTTCCTACATTCTAGATTATAATATATTTCAATTTTATGTTCCACTTAGTTTTCGAATAGGCATGCCAAACTTAATATGTGTACAAGTCAGAATTCCAATTGCCACCTTAAAACGAGTTCTATAATCTCATTTTATTTTATTCAGTTATGCTTATTTCCTCTCTGTTCCCTGACATTTTATTGGCTGTTCTTTATAAATATGTCCAGGGACTGAATACTTGCATGTCCTCCATCCTAGTTCAAGCTGTTTTCATGATTCACTTGAGTACTGGGATGGAAAAGCTGATCTTCATGCTTTCTGGTTTTCTGCTACCAGTTTCAGGTGGCTTCTTCTATCATTCTCTACTTTTCTGCCTTCAGACAGGGTCTCTCACTGAACCAGAAGCTTGGAAGCTTGTTTTCTGGCTAATAAGCTCTCAGGATCTGTCTCTACCCCTGAGTACTGGGGTTACAGCCATGCTTTCAACTTTTTATGTGGGTGCTAGGGATTCAGACTCAGGTCCACATGGTTGCAGAACAAGTGCTCTTACTGAGTCGTCTGCTCAGTTGCTGTTTACTTTTTTTTTCTTTTTTTTTTTTTTTTTTTTTTTAAAAAGGGTCTCCCTGTAGCCCCAGCTATCCTGGAACTTATTATGTAGACCAGGCTGGCCTCAAACTTAAAAAGATCCACCTGCCTCTGCCTCCCAAGTGCTGAGATTAAAAGGGGTGTGCCACCACGCCCAGCTTTGCTGTTTAAATTTTTAAATGAAAACATAACTATCTCTTTAAGGAGCCAAAATTAATAAGTATATCTTTTTTCTCATTCTTTGTTTTGCTGATAAACTTTACTTTAGATTTTCTTTTGTCTATATCAGTGAGACGATTGTTCAGTTATTTTGAATATGTTTCAGTGAATGGGCTTTTATGTTTGTATAGTTGCAGCATGTGATTTAGGGGGAATTATAACTATTATCATAAGCAGTTTTGAACATAATAGCTAAAAATCTGGGCTTTAAATATTTGTTGCCTACTTTAAATCCTAGCCTGGCCACTTAATTCCCTTTGTGATATTAGGGAACTCTCTTTGAAGCATCCTCATAAGAAAAAAAAATGGAAAGGATAAAAGTATGTTATGGTGATTATTGTGCAGATTGTATGAGCTAGTACTTTTATATACTTAGAGTAGTGCTTAGCACATAGCCTTGCATAATTTTTCACTAAAGAAACCTGTTACACTTGTTTTCATGTTATCAGATATTTTATATTCTCTTATTTATGATCTCATTCATTGAAATGCACATTCTTTTTATGTATATGAAATTTGCATATATGTTTGAGGTTTGTTAATTGGCCCTTTTATTTTGTCTCCTAGAGCTGCTCATCATCCAGAGTTTCCAACGGTTCTGACAGCTTTAGAAATAGACAATGCTGTTGTTGCAAATAGCCTAATTGACATGAGGGGCATAGAGACAGTGCTGCTAATCAAAGTAAGGCCAATGCTTGATGTATTTTATGCTATTTAAAAATTTTTATGACTGAGTTTTTTCATATATTGTATTTTTACCTCATACTGGCAAAATACTGGTATTTATACTTCATACATATTTTTACCTCAAAAATACTTTTTCATAATAAGACATTATTTGGGGATTATTTCATTCAAATGTTGGAGAAAGATTACTAGAATTATCTTGATAGGTTTAATTTTGAAGCACATCCGTCTGAAATACTTGAGAAATGTTTTTAAAATGTGTTTTCTGTTCTGTTCTAGAATAATTCTGTAGCTCGTACAGTCATGCAGTCCCAAAAGCCACCCAAAAATTGTAGAGAAGCTTTTACTGCTGATGGTGATCAAGTTTTTGCAGGACGTTATTATTCATCTGAAAACACAAGGCCTAAATTCCTAAGCAAAGACGTGGATTCTGAAATAAGGTTAGAGTCAAGTTTAAAACTCTGCTGTATTCCCACTGCTTTCTTTGGTTTTCATTTTCTTTAACCACCTTCTTTTAGTGCTTATCTCACAGAAGAACTGTGACTTATTTCAGTGTTTTGTCTTAAAAGTTTATTTAACTGGGGCTGGAGAGATGGCTCACCAGTTAAGAGCACTGATGGCTCTTGCAGAGGACCCAGGTTCTATTCCCAGCACCCACACGGCGGCTACGAACTGTCCTTAACTCCAGTTCCAGGGGAATCTGAAGCCCTCTTCTGACCTCTGCAGCATTGCACGACATGGGTGCACTCACATACATGCAGGCAGTATACTCATACACATAAAATAAAAATAATAAAGTATTTTTTAAAAAAGTTTATTTAACTGGACTTGGAGTTTGACCTTCACTTTGACAGCAGTATTGAGGACAGAGTTCACAAAATGTGTCCCTTGACTATCTGGTCTGCGCATTGTTGTACCTGTCCATAAGTTTTACTCAAAATATAAAGGAGTGTTTGCTTTGGCAGCATATACACTGAAATTGAATAGTACAGAGACTATTAGCGTGGCCCTTGCAAAAGGATGGATTGAAAATTTGTGAAACATTCCATGTTTTCTTTAATAAAAAAGGAAAGAAAAAGAAGAATGTAAATGAGCTGAATCATGGATGCTTGCTATTGAGTTACAGTGATTTTTTTTTTTTTTAAGTGAGAATCCAGTATACCAGTCTGCATTCTGACTAAAGCTTCTTATTGTGTATCTCATACTTACAGTTTTGTTGTTTGAGAGAGCTAGAAAGAAGTCACTTGACAATTCAAATTCAAAAAAAAAACCTTAGATGGGTTGGAGAGATGACTCAGTACAGTAGTTAAGAGTAACTTGCTGGTCTTGCAGAGGTCCTGAGTTTGGTTCCCAGAACTCATGTCAGATGGTTCAGAACCACCTGTAACTCCAGCGCCAGGAGAATTGACCCCCCTCTTCTGTCTCTACAGGTACCTGCACTCACATGCACATACCCTAGGCACGTAACTTAAAAACCTAAAATCTTAACAACAACAAAAATGGCAACCAAACAACAACAACAAAAAACAACAACCCAAAACACATATATGTTTGGAGAGATGGCAAAGCAGTTAATAGCAGTGGCTGGTCTTCTGGTTCCCAGCACCCATGTGGTAGCCAACACCTGTCCTCAATTCCAGGTCCAGCGAATGCAACACCCCTCTTCTGGCCTCTGTAGGCACCACATGCAGGGGAAACACTCATACACAAAATAAAATCAAGCTGGTAGAGTGACAAATTGAGAAGTTAAAAAGAGTAAATAGTAAAGAGTAGGTGCAAGAGTATGCCAAAAAGAATTTGGGATTCTGTAGAAATCATGATTTCTCAATTAAACTAATTCCGTTTGGTGAATTGATGAGTTAGACTTGAATTAATGATTTAGAATATGTATAGTATAAATTAGAACTTCAGATAAAAAAATTGTCACCAGGTCTGGTGCAATCCTAGATACTTGGAAAGCTATTGCAGAAGTATTACAAGTTCAGAATCAGTGCAGGGAAATCTAGTTAAGACTTAAGTTTAAAATAAAACAAATAGAAAGAGGGCCAGGGACATGACTCAGTTTTAGAGCCCTTGCCTACCATGCATGAGGCTATCCATTCAACCTCCAGGACAACTGCAAAAGTAAAGAAGGAAGCCGAGAGAGGAGGAGAAGAGGGAGTCTTAAGAAAGTTGAACCAAAGTAAAAGAATTGTAAATAACTTCCATTTGTAGGGGAAATGAGAGTTTTGTTGAAATAGATTTCTTATTTGTAAATAACACTGAATATGTTTGTGTAATTATTAAAGTAGCATATAATAGCTAGGCATGGTGACACACATCTTTAATCCCAGCACTTGGGAAGCAGAGGCAGGCAGATCTCTGTGAATTCCAGGCCAGCCTGGTCTACATAGTGAGTTCCAGGCCAGCTGGGGCTACAGAGAGATCTTGTCTCAAAGAGAATAACAACAAGAAAAGTAGCATATAATAATTATAATGACTATTGGAAAGTTTTAATTTATTTTTATTTTATGTGTATGAGTGTTTTACCTACATGTATGTAAGCATACCACATGTATGCATTGCCCATGGAGGCCAGAAGAAGGTTTCAGATCTGGAACTGGAGTTATGGACATTTGTGAGCCTCCATGTAGGTGCTGGGACCCAAACCCAGTCCTCTGCAAGAGCAGCCAGTACTGAACCATTTCTCCAGCCCCAATAAATATTTCTTAATTAGCAATAGAAAAAGGTTGGAACAAAAGTTAAGTGATTAGGAAATGGGTGTTGTGGTACTTGGTTTTTTTTCCCAATTTAGTTTCTAGTTATAAAAGTATACATGATGTTACAAGCTCAAAAAATTACTAATATGGTTGGCAAAATTGCTTATGCATTATCAAATTGTATAGTATAACATTTTTGTATACTTTTCTGAAGTACACTTTAAATTTTATTCTTTAATTTGTTTCTTCAAACAAATATTTTAGTGCTTACCTAGTGTGCTAAGGAAGGTGGTAGCTTATACATGAGCCATCAGGTCCTTATCTGCGTTAGGGAAAAGACAAAGCACACTGCACGGTGAGTACTGATCACCATGAACACATTAGAGAAGTACTGATCACCGTGAATACATTAGAGAACACATTCATATCACACAACCAGCTTGCATAATTAGCTAAGCTTAGTAGTTAACAAATGTTATACTTTTGTGTAAAGACTAAAAAGTCAGGTAGAACACCATGTGAAAATTGCATAGTCACTTGACTGTGCTTCAGGAAACCCTTCATGGTTTTGGCACCTGCCTTCTTTATTCCCCATCTCCATCCCCATCCCTTCCCTGTCCTCTTAGAATTTTTTTGTTGTTGTTGCTGTTGAATTAATTTTTATTAAAATGGAATGTTCTTCAAAAAATATGGACCACTTCATGAATTTGCATGTCATCCTAGGTTTTTGGGTTTTTGTTTGTTTTTTGTTTTTTGAGACAGGGTCTCCCTGTAGCTCCAGTCTGGCTTCAGTCTCACCTGCCTTGGCCTCTTGAGTGCTGGAATTAAAGACATGTACCACTATGCCTAGTGTCTTAGCATTTCTTTTTCTTATTTTGTTTTGGTTTTGGTCTTTTTTTAAAAACAGGGTTTCCCTGTAGCCCCAGCTGACCTGGAACTCAATGTGTATACCAGGCTGGCCTTGAACTCACAGAGATACGCCTGCTCCTGCCTCCTGAGTGCTGGGATTAAATGTGTGCACCACTAAAAAAAAAAAGTCTTAGCATTCTTTTTAAAACAAAAAATTTTGAACTGTTCTTTAAATCTGTTGTCATCACTCTACCTTTGTGCAGTTTCTTGCATCTTTTCCCTTTTTTGGCTCAGCATATAAAAACATTAGAGAATACAAATTGTTTTTCCATTCTCCCAGAATCACATTTGTGTTCCTGTAGTTCTGAAGACATAAAGTATCTTGTCCTATTCATATCTTAATTGCAGTGCATTTCTTGGTTTTCTTTTTTTGAGGGAATGGTTCTTTATTCTGTTTTTAGCAACCTCCATGCTTAATGCCTAGAGCATAGAATACATCTAATAATATTTGATAATCAAGTAAGTAAAACTTCAGTTTAGAAGACTTGACATTTCTGCTAATTTTTGTTAACAAGTTGTTAACTTATTAATAACTTGGTAAGATTATAGTACTTGTTTAATGAAATAGGAGTATGTAAATAATTTATTACTAGTAAGCTTTTTTAATGGTAAAGAAGTAAGGTATTTGTAATGTTGAGAAATGAGTTTATTTTTCATCTGTTCTTAAGTGAGTTGGAGAATGAGATTGAAAATAAGAAGGCCCAGATAGTAAATCTTCAACAGCATCTGTCTGCCCTTGAGAAGGATATTAAACGTAATGAAGAACTTCTTAAAAGATGCCAGCTACATGATAAAGAAATAAAGGTAAAAAAAATACCCTTTTGTTTTTGCCAGTTACTTCTTCAGTGTTAATTTTATAATTTTTTCATTCATATCTACTAGTAATTCTCAAATATTTTGGCCTCAGGCTCCTTTACATTCTTATGAAGAACTTTCATTTATATGTTATATCTATAAATACTTTTATTTTTAAAAATGAAAAGTTTTTGCTTCTTGACCTTTTTGCAACAATCAAATATAAAACAAAATTTAAGAACTTACTAATTTATTTAAAGGTAGTATAAAATATATTTTTCAAACTCCAAAATGTAGTGAGATTTTCTATCATCTACCTATCTATAATCTATCATCTATCATCTGTCTATATCTATCTATCTTATCTATCTATCTAATCATCTATCATCTGTCATATCTCTCTATCATCCATCTATATCTATCTATCATCTATCTAATCTATCTATCTCTTTTTTCTTTTTGGAAAATCCTAACTAGTTTATTGGGCTTGCTAACAGAACATAGGTTTACTGTAAAACAAAATTTAAGAATTTACTAATTTATTTAAAGATAGTATAAAATATATTTTTCAAACTCCAAAATGTAGTG